AGGCAGCCTGGAAAGAAGGGCACCAATACGACGCTGATTGATCAACTGCTTTCCCAGAGATGGTCCAGCGTGGAAGTGCGGTATCAGCGAGTCCTAGAGCACGTCCTGCCCTCGGGGAGAAACCCTACGAACTACGGCCCATTTCGGAATTCCCTCTTTGGTACGATCCCCTTCCCCACTAGCCACCTTACGCCTAGCTGCAGTTCCTGGATTTTCCCCACCCCCAGCACACGTGCAACGGGAAAACCGAGAAAATTTAACAACCGGAGGCATCTGGAAACGTGTTCCCCTCAAATCCAAGAACACCCCACCTTCCCTTGAGCTAGCAGTTACAACCTCCTCGCTGGGACTCCTAGTCTACTGTCCCGTGCCGACGCAGGATATTCGACCCAGGGTACAATATAAGACCCTAGAACGGGCTACCTTTGTTTACTCCCTTTGAAACGTTGGCGGGAAAGGGAAACAGATGCTTCCAAGGCTGGGAGAATTGCTCTTACACACGAAAATTCTCCACATATCGTACATATCAGACCAGGTGATACCTTTGTCTACATAAGCCTCGCTAGCCTTCCCCCCCCCCTCTCCTGATCCATCTACGATGATGATCAACCCCGGCCGAGGAACACAGCGAGTGTAAAAGGGTCGCGAGGGGTTTACTCTAGTTTGTCGAAAAAATGCCGAAAAAATGCTAAAGAAGATTTAGCTGCCCATTGTCTTGGTACTCCAATCACAGCACATCCTGCGGTTGGGAAAATTCTGGCGAAATGCGACCCGCCTAGTATTTGCTCCTCTCAACGACCCCCTTCGCCACACTATCCAGCATTTCCCTGATCATCTCAACACTTCCTTTCAATTTCTCAACTCCCTATCACGTTTCCGGAGTTTTTCTCGGAAACTTTTCCGAGTTCCAAAGATTTCTGATCTTTTTATTTCCTCTTTTTTTTACCGAAAACCCAAAAAACTAAAGTCAGTAAGGATGGATATGCAACACACTTGAAATAGGGAAAACCATAAGCAGTCAACGACCAATATTTCGACCTACCCGACTCTCCAGCGACCAGATACGACCCTTTTGCTGGGAATCCTATACCTTTATTCCAACGCAACTCCCTAGATGCTATCATTCTGCTATTCCTCTCTTTCAAAGCACTGAGGAACAATGAGGATTTCTTCTGTCGTATATTTGTTTGATAGCATCAGATCGCTATGAAAAACACTGGACGACATGTGGCAATGTGAGGGGGCGAGCATCGCTCCACACAACCGATACTCCCACCCCCGTCAACCACCTGTGCGGTCGTTGCCGCAGTAAAACGCCATCTTATCGAGCCAGGTGTCAGGATTCAAGAAAAACATAGCGAAATATTATTGAATCATCAAAATGGCCCACGAGGACTGGAAAGACAGTCTTCAGCTGATTGTATCGGCGAAATATAGGCTGAAGTACGAGGAGTAAGCGTTCATTTGGTCCGAACTCGCAGAGTGTTGTGAAGAGGTAAAGAGTTCGGAGAAGTGTAAGGGTCGAAGGGTAGTTGTGGGCCTATCTGACGATCACAAGAATGAGGGGCCAGAACACTGTCCTGCTCTTGGAGGACCACTAGTGCGCGGCTAAGAATGACAAGGGATCTGAAGCTACCTGCGGCCCTCATGGAAAGCGTATTTATTTCTATTCCTATTTCTTCCTGTATCTATTCTGATCCATCTAAACTAGTGAGGTCCTATTCTGCTAAACGATGGAATCGAAACAACATCCAGGCGAGATTGTACCTCTTTGGTACGAATATCTTGAGCTTTCCCTGTTTTCGATCCTTCTGATCACCATGAGGCCCCGGGACAGCACAATACCCGCAAGGTCAGAGCTGTGCTATCCATTTTGTCCCTGATTCCTACTCCTGCCTCTTTCTGCCCAAGGGATGATCTTGTAGTGTCTAGAAGTCCACGGATGCTTGTCTTTAGGTCAGCAACTGCTAGCAATACGACAACTGAACACTGAACAGATATGCTCGGGTAACTCAATCCCCCAGTGCCCGTAGGAACCAGGGAACGGTCACATTTCAGCTGGAGTCACCTCTGGTGCCCGGAGAAAACGGCGGAGTATCACCTAGTTAAAGGTAGACGCCACACTGAAAAGGGAGCTTGGAGTCATTGAAAATGATTAATGGACTATGTTAAAGCCCGATGGTTCCAAGGTGAAACGGCTCAATTCAGCGCTGGCTCGAACGACGTGTGCATTTTCCGGAAGCTTCGGATGACGTCACTCTGGTTTGCTTTGGTGTAACGTCACTTTGGTGGTCGTTTGAATCTAGGGTTTGCTTCAGAGGAATGCTAAATGGTTAGCTATAGTACTGGCCAGGAAAAAGAGGAATCTCTAGCTGATTCGATGAAGCAGACCCTTCATCAGAACGATCAGTTGCAGCCCCCGCCCCCGCAAATAAATGACGTCATTAACGAAACTCTAGAGTGACGTCCCTTTTGATGCCTGGGACAGTTGGAATCTACCTTGAAGGAGTCATAAAGTGGACCGAAGATCCGATGAGAAAACGAGAAGCTCCGTGCAGAGCACGTCGTACATACGTTGGGGATCTCCAGTGAGGAGAGCCTTATTTGGTCGGTGGAGGAAGGGGTCATATTTGCTTCTGGGGGAAATTTTCTCGGGTATTCACTTTTTTTGGCCGTATCCGCTGTCAGCGCTGGAATGCACTCCGATTCCCTTCCCCCACACCCACCTCTCCCCCCTTCGCGGATGTTTTTCGGAGGAAAAGCGTAGTAAGGGGTAAGAAGTTGGAAATATTTAGGAAGATGTTAGGGGCTCGTACCCAAAGTGGAGCAACTGTTGAGGAGAGGGTGCATTCTGTAGATGTTGACATGTCCTGGCCCACGTGTTTCGGAAACCCGGGGGCGTATATAGCCGATTCACCCTGATTTACCTGATGACGTCAATTATCGGGAACTTTCTCCATAAAACCGGTTTGCAAAGTCTAAGGGCAACTGTAGAGTTTCTCGTTTGAACACTGAGCCCGTCCGTTCTAATTGGTACGATTCATCGGCTCGGGCAAATATACACGCGGGCATAAAGGGCCACATGTTGAACGATCGGCTCGTGAGAGCAAACAAATGTAATTGAAACGTGCGATATACGCGCGTGGCGATGACACATCTGTACATCGCAACAGTTGACCGGAAGCCGATAACAAGCACAACTGCTCAGTTTTTCCCCCCACCCAAAACCTCCTTGTTTTCCAGAATCCACCGGGTAACCAGTTCATCAACTGCTGGCTTCTTAGTCTGGTCAAAACAATGGCCATAGCGGATAGCCCCGTGCGGGAACTTTTAGACAAGCGATATCCATCTTAGAAGGGGACTTCTTCTCATAGCAGAGGTTTGGGAGAATGAGGCGTCAACCACAAAAAAATGTTGCTTTCGAGAAAGCAAGTATTTCAGAGGTCGGATTTATCCACAAGGTCAATAGTTTCGGGAATCATGGGCACGTTATATGCAAAGCCACAGCACAGCAGGCGCGGCCCATGCCTTTGGGGAGGATTTTCAGAAAAACGATCCAACCTCGAAATTTCCTCCTCCAATACGAGCCCCCCCCTCCTTCTCCATCCTACCTATTATATCTACATCTTGAGGCAACTCTTTCAGCCTCTACCACCTGTTGGTCCAAAAAATATTCTAAAAATTCAAAGTTGTTGCCCGAATCTTGGCCGACGAGCGATAAGAGAGGAGAGTAGAGACGGAACGGCACCAAGCGGCCGGAAAATTTTTCAGCCCACGGCAAATATCTCTCAAAGGCAAAATACGACCATACAGCCCCACCCCCTTAATGGAATCTTCCCAACGGCGTGAGTGGCTCCCTGGAACAGGAAAAATCATTTGCCAAAAAAATTTCAGATTAAATACACCCCCCCCGCCTCACTTCGGCTACCATAAGGGAGCCCCGTGTGGATTACTCAACCCCTAGTGGAGAATAATTTGGAGTTTGGATTTTTCTGAGTTTTCCAATTCACGTGGGGCTATCCCACCTTCCCCCTCGATGGTAGTTTCTTGGGAAGAAACAGGAGATTTTTTTTGAAAACATTCAGAAAAGGGGAGGACGCTGTGAGAACTCAAGGCGAAGTTGAGATAGGTGGCGATAGGGGGTGGGGAGTAGCACCCAGAGAGGACGGGGTCAATTAGGCAGATGGTTCCCCAGGCCGGACGTTTGCTCTGATCGGGGAACCCTGCCAGCTTATTTACGGAGTTACCACATTTATCGTGAAACTGCAAACATCAACACCGGCTAGCCGTTTAGCTTGCCAGTGGTATGGAAGTAGTATGCCAAAGCAGGACAAGACTCGATAGTTGGCGCAGAAGGGCTCACAGAACTTTCTTCAGGGAACCCTCTAGAGGAAACCCCATTTGCCACATCTTTCCCCCTTCAACCACACCTGTCTCTTCTGCTCTGGAAATAAGAAAAAACAACAAAACGTAAGCCTTTCATGGGAAAAAAATGCGCCCGAGCGCTAATGATGTTCTAAGCGTCTAAGCGCTGTTCTTTGAAAAGGCCCCACATTCTTCAGCAAGTATTAGGGCGAGAACAATCAAAGAAACAATAGAACACAATTATAAAGGATGATTAGCTTTATAGCGACGAAGACGTACCTTAATGAGATTGTCGACCGCTCTTGACACAGCCCCGACGGGACGTGTAAGATCGGGCATCGCATTTCCATCTTCGGCTTCTTCATGAAGGATCACTAACCGGGACACCTGCAACGGAACACCTTTAGATGAATCTTTAGACTGTTCTGGCACGGAAATCAGGACAAAGTGGACGATTTTTAGCCATTGAAGCGAGAAGCAACATTTAGGAAATATGTGAGGCTGCGTTCATACTCCTGGTTTCAGGACAGCCCGTGAAAAGGAATTGATACGTATCGATCCTGAGAATTTATTGAAATCAATATTCAAGCATCTAATCCAATTCGTGGGTTCCTGCCATGGGCGGAGTCTAACCAATCGAGACGATGTTCGCTACGGATGCTGGGGCGTGTCGGGAAAGGCGGTGGGGGCGTGGCGCCATCCCGGTTCCCGCCAATAACTGTCGCTTGTTCACTTCAATAATCGGTGGAGGACGGACTAGCGCCGCGCCAACTCCAGCCCCTCTGGAACGTCCGAGCATCCGCAGCAAACAAGACTGTGCCCTAGTTAAGAACGACTCGCGCGATTTGTGAGGCGCCCAAAAAAGCAGTAAAAAGCAAAAAGCAACGCATTCCCCTGCTAGACAACAGCCCGCTGCAACTTCTAAGTCGACTATATTCAGAATGGAACTCCCATGGTACATTGGCAGCGGTCCAATGATTAGCAGCGAAGCGCGATGGCCAAATCAAGCGACTGGAGCGACCCCAAATCGCTCGAGTCGCAAAGTATGAACGCGGTACGACTTTTACACGAATCACGTAATGAGTGAAAGCTCTGAAGAACTAAAAAAGCTCCTTCTCAGAGTGAGCGCGACACGCGGTTGGTAGGTCGTGATCCCTGCAAACGATGGGGCGTTTGACGGGGTATGGCTCGATGCGCCGACGGATCAGATTTCCCACCAATTGTGGCGGGCTCTGGATGGCATTATTGATAGTAAGCGGAACGCCCTGGCTGTGCTCCAACACGCTCCGCGTCACACGCCCCATCGTTTGCACGGATCATGACTGTAAAAACCAAAAAACCAAAGAACAACATCAACAACACGCACACATCCGCTTCGCCCTTTGGGCAGCATGATTTGACAGACAGGACAGTCCTCCTCGGTCACTCGCTGTTGAATGGTGTCCGGATAAATGAATTCGGGCAATGATCGACGGCTACTGGCCCTCGACAACGATCGAGTAGGGATCGGCTCTTCACCAGCATTACGACCAGCAACAGCTAACACGTAGTGCAACTAAAAGCGACACTGAGAACAAATTACATGGACACATTGCACGAAAACTTGGACGAAAAGTGCACGTACAGAGGTGGCATGCAAAGCGAACACACATACATATTGGAATTGTAGATCAGGACAGCAAAGGAGTAGAGTTTGTTAGGACTGAAGAAATAGGAGGCCGAATTAGGGCAGTGGAAAACCAGAAAGACCCCGTTGACCATGCTATTACGACAAGTACTTCGTAGCAGGCTCATAAGGAAAAAGGAATTAACGGCATAAACCATGTTTCACTATTATCGAACAGCCTTAAAGACACATTTCGTGTGCGTCGTGTGGGCGTGGTCAGCCCTATCACTGTGCCTTCTTTTCCTAGAGGAGAGATGAAAAAGGGTACGTGAACGAGGTAAAGCTAGTCGTAGGCCTAGTTGAACGTATCCGACAAGCGTGCAACGCGCTTATGGACAAGATTACGTCAGAAAATTTCCAGTGATACTTTTATTGTTACATCAGTGAGGATGACATTTAGAGCGTTGCCATAGGACTACGAAATCCAGCGTTTGAGTGGGGGGAGCCGACACTGTTGAGATAGCAGACCCTTAAAAAAGTCCATGCGGATCAAACAGGCATGATCATGACACCAATGAGAAGACAGCAAGGCGGGTCTGACCCCGCCCATGCGATCAACATGGAGCGAACCCATAAGTGAACGAAGGGACCATGTAAATGTTACAGCCACAAGTTATCAGGTGACTATCCCAGACTAGACGAGATGGAATCTGGCCTTCTCGGTGTCGAACTTACTGAATTCCTTAATGCCGGATTCTTTCTGAAAGGGACGTCGGCTAACTTTAACTAGTAACGTCCTGAGCATTGTTTTCATACCGAAGAGCAAATCCCGGAGAGTTTCTCCCGAAGGGATGGCCTGCAGGAAAAAAATGGCTCCTAAAGATATCCCTGCTGGTAGACTAGGCTTATGGGGGTTTAACCTGACACATACAGGGCAAGTCCACAATGGCGCAATCACGGATCATATGTGATCAAAGCTATATCAATTAAAACTTTTCGAAGGTGAAAAGGCAAGGAAAAATGACCGGCGCAATAGAGGAAAAGGACTGAAGGATGCCGTGGCCTGAGCAATGGCCTTAACTGGTCGCTAGATGACCGCAGCCTACGCAAGAACTTGCGCCATATTGTCACCGCTCACGTTCTATGAAGTTTTGGAAAACTGGTGGGAAGTGGAGAAGGTTGGGAAGGTAGTAGGAAGGATTAGGGAGGGGTCGTATGGGAGAGGAAATTTGGGAAGGTTTGCACTAACTCCAGGATTTTACCGATGCTCTAGCCACGGATGGGCGCCAAGTTGCCAACGGATGAGCTGAATAGTGCAGTTGTACCAAAAATGCGACTTTCGATTTCAAAAGAACTCCCGAAATCTTGCC